TGACCCGACTCTCTGAATATTCTAAGCAATTTTGTGCTTGCTAAGTAATCAGTTTCTAAGTAGTTTCGTCATTGTGCTGCTCTCATTTGCTTCTTGCAGTCAACTTGGACTAATCAAGCTTCTCATAGATAAATGTAATCCATGACTATTTTACTTAGCCATTCTTCCTCGAGGAAAAGTACACAATCTTTCAAAGTCAAATTTCTTCAAATAAATTTAGCTAGTATTAAGTAAACCATCATCCTTTACAGGGATAATACATTTTGGTATCAGATACCTAGATCGAAAGAGAAACAGCTATCAAACTGGCCAGGAGTTCAGAATAGCCTACCGTGTTAAGACTTGAGAGGAATTACAAATTCACAATGATTAGATTTCAAGGGTTTGTTTCTGCAGCTTGCTTCCTTTTCTACCTTGCGTGGAAAATGGGCGTTGCTGCAGCAGCTGCAGCTGGAGATGGGTCAAATGGAACAGTAGCACCAACGCATTACTCAGTCCGCATTGGTGCTGTTCTTGATTCCAATTCTTTCATGGGGGCCATGATAGATGTATGTATTTCAATGGCACATTCGGATTTCTATGCCACGCATGCAGATTATCGAACTAGACTGGATATCCACAGGAAATATGCTCACAATGATTTCGATATGACATCTTCAGGTTTTATCTATGTGCATTTCGTTTTTAAAATTTGATGTTACATCATTTCCACTAGAACTCTCCATTTAGCACTTGCAAAGTAAATTGTGGCCTGTATCATCTTTCTGTCATATATCCTTCTTTTTTTTTTTTTCCTGCTGTAATATACTGCTTAAGCCAGAAGAACATGCATTGAAGGTCCTTCCTGATGCTGATAATCAAAAAGTCAAATCTAATGTCCCCTTGTAACATATTTATTTGCTGATTCAAGTATTTTTAAATGGCGTCTTCAATGTCATGGTCAAAATTATTGTAAGTGTGAAATTTATAGATAACACTACAACTGAAAAGTGTGACAAAAATGATAATCGCAGGGGTGGCCATTTAGATCAAAGTTCGTATCAATAAAAAGGTAAAATACTATTATGGCCAAGGAATTAAGATCACGATGACTAATTCTTTGTTTTCTTCAAATGCAATGCAGCCCTTGAACTGATAAAGAATGAAGAAGTGCATAGTATTCTAGGGCCTCAAACATGGACAGAAGGTAAATTAGTAACGGAACTTGGAGGGAAAGCTCATGTCCCTGTAATATCCTTTACTCATAGAGGCGGTTCTCTTTCCTATACACCAAGCCCTTACTTCATTCGACGTACACCAAATGACTTAGACCAAGCAAAAGCTTTTGCTTCCATCTGCCAAGGATTTGAATGGCATGAAGCAGTCGTTTTGTATCAAGATACTAACTATGCTACTCGGTTTCTGTCTATGCTGAATAAAGCATTTCAAGATGCTGATATCCGGCTTGCACACGTGGTTGCCATCTCAACATTAGCTGAAGACGGTCACATCGTGAATGAACTGGAAAAATTGAAGACAATGCAAACTAGGGTCTTCTTAGTGCACATGAATGCTGTACTTGGGTCTAGGCTATTTCTTCTTGCCCAAAAGGCTGACATGATGAGTGAAGGATATGCCTGGCTTGTCACTGATAGCTTGGGCAACTCCTTGAACTCTATAGATTCTGCTGCCATTGAATGCATGGAAGGTGTTTTAGGTCTAAGGGCTCATGTACCGAAGACAAAGAATCTAGACAATTTCAGAAACAGGTGGAAAAAGAATATGCTTCTGATGAAACCTGAAAGTACGGGGAGAGAGCTAAATGTGTATGGTCTGTGGGCATATGATACAGTTTGGGCACTGGCAATGGCAGTAGAAAATATTGGACCGGTAAACCCTGTCCTCTTGGATATCAACAACAGCAAGAGTGGAAGTGACATGTTCGGTGTACAAATCTCTCAAATTGGCCCAAAACTTGTAAGAGAACTCCAGAGCATAACATTTCAAGGCTTGACTGGGGAGTTCTACTTAATTGATGGGCAGCTGAAAGCTTCAGCCTTGGAGATAGTCAACGTGTTTGAAACAGGGGATAAAACGATTGGTTACTGGACACCTGATCAAGGAATTATGCCAAAATTGTCGTTGAGCACTAGACAATCATATTCAACTTCCATAAAGGAACTAAAGACCATTATATGGCCTGGTGATTCAGTAAAACATCCAAAAGGAGTGGCTATTCAGAAATTAAGAGTAGGGGTCCCCAAGAAATATGAATTTATCAATGTTCCAGACAATCTTCACACAAACCACACTAAGATCACTGGTTATGCACTGGATATATTCCGTGCTGTAATGGTGCAGCTGAATTTTAGTCTTGATTATAAGATCATCCCTTTTACAATTGAAAGTGGACTCCGTAATGGAACTTACAATGCTCTTCTTCACAATGTGGGCAAGGTTGGTTTCTTCTCATTTCTGTGTCTTTGTTTCACGATTTTTATTTGCTTTTAAGAACTGTTTGCTTGGTGACAGACTTACAGAGAACCAGTGTGGCATCAATCTGATATTGCTTTCTCTTTCTTTTGACGCTTCAATAGGCTTTTGATATAGCTGTGGGAGACATAACGATTTTGGCTGACCGAGCACGATATGTTGACTTTACATTGCCATACTCTGAATCAGGAACTGTTTTTGTGGTAAGAAATAAAAATGGGAAAGGCATGTGGAGTTTTGTAAAACCTTTTAGGTGGGATCTTTGGCTGACAATTATGAGCGCCTGCATTTTCATTGGGATAGTCCTCAGGCTTTTGGAGCATAGAGAAAATGAGAAGTCTGATTCTGCTGGAACAAATAATCAGAAATTTGGATTTCTCTTTTGGTTTCCAATTTCTATTCTCGCTTTCCCTGAAAGTAAGTTCTCCTTGACACGTTTTCTAATGAATTTTCTAAATGTGCTGTTCCTTGACCAGTATAAATGTTGTAGAAGTTGCAGAGATTAGTATTTCCCTATCTTCTACATATAAATGGATAGTAAATATTGAGCTATCAACTCGAGTAATATTATAATCTGGTCTGCTGCTGACAGAAAACATGGTTGCCAGCCACTGGTCGAGGTTTGTGTTGGTAGTGTGGTTGTTAATGGCTTATATCATGATGCAGAGCTACACCGCAAAGCTATCAGCAATTTTCACAGTAGATCAGCTAGATTTCAGATTTTCAAATGACTATTACATCGGCATCCAAAAAGGTAGCTTTACAAAAGATTTCTTGGTAGATCGTCTCCATGTTAACGAGTCAAAGATCAAGGAATACTCAACTATTGAGGAATATCATTATGCTATGAATAAGGGGAGCGAAAATGGAGGAATTGATGCTATCTTTGACGAAATCCCTTATATGAAGCTGTTTCTTGATCAACACGACTCCGACTATAAAATAGTTGGCACTACATTCAGGACAGGTGGATTTGGCTTTGTAAGTTCTCCCTCCCTCTTTGTGTGTTCCATTCAGGTATACTAGGACAGTATATGAGCATGCTTCAACACTGTCACATGGTCGGAAGCATTTGTACAATATAAGATGTGAACTTTTAAATAAAGATTTTTTTTCTCGAGAAAATTGCAATTGTGTGCATTGACATGTGTTTCTTTATTTCTGCACGACAAATTCTATATTTATACATGAAAATATCATACAATGTTTCTCCAGGCATTCCCTTTGAAGTCTCCACTAGTTGTTAACTTCTCAAGAGCAATCCTATCAGTGACAGAAGATGAAAATATGGGTGCAATTGAGCAAGGGAATTCTGGACCTAAGTATTCCCCTTTTAATCAAAGTGATTCAGTCAACAAGCAAAGCCTCAGTTTAACAGCTTTTGATTTTGGAGGACTTTTTATTCTAGTAGCCTCAGCTCTGTTATTTGCATTGTTCTGCTCTGAGACCTCAGTCGGTCAAAAACTGACTGAAAGGGTCAGGTACTATCACCACAGATGTTCCGTTTTCCTATCATTCGGGGGGAACGAACCAAAAGTTAACTCGACAGTCAATCCTGATCGTAGTGGAGATTCATTCAGTGAAAAAGAACAAGGGCCTGATGACTCTGATAGGGTAAATTTAGATGATTCGTCTGGACCAGGCACACCTGCCCGTGAATCTGAGCAAAGAAATGCGGACATTTCAGCTACAGATGGTCAAGCAAATGAATCTGAGTCTGAGCAAAGAGGCATTGCTGTTTCTGCAAGACAAATCAGTTCATGAAGTACCAGAAGCATGTAAATACTGAAGCAAGTAGGATATAATCTGAATGTTTGTCTCAGGCTTCTTTGGTGCTTTTTAGCACAAAATTATTCAAGTCACAACTTAGAGGGCTGAACATGTTGCATTAAGCTATTCCTTATGGTTCATCGATTTTTATTTTAGCTAGTTACTAAGCTTTGGTTCGCCTGTCTGTGAATCGATGAGGGGATCTACATGATTTTTTATTTTTTGTTTATTTGGGTTCGATTATTTGTTTAACAACAGCAACATATTGTAGATTAAGTAGATTCACATTCCGGCTTCTAGTTGTAAATTTACTTTATTTACTCTTTTTCTTTTTTTCCCTATTCTATGCAGGAAATCCATACTGATTCGCATATGATCTAGGAAAGCGTCCAAGCATTTTTTATGTCAGAAACATGGATGCTGTTCCTTTAATACCAAATAATCACGCTTAGGTTGGGGCATCCTTCTTTAAAGGAATGTAGAAGTGCACCTATTCGTGCACAGGTAAATTTTCAGATTTGTCAGGATGTACGGACTCCGAGATTGGGGTCTCATAAAGTACCGCAACGGATCCTCTGTGCCACACCCTGTATCACACTCTATCACACTTTTTATAATCTCGCCAAGTGTCTCTTAATAAATCAAACCCTCAAATAACCTAACTCGGACCATGTTAAATTGATTAATCGATTAATCGGACAGATAACTTAATCTCTTTAACCAAAACTAAGTAAAATAAAAACTCTTTAACCAAAATCACAATTTATCATCAAGGGAAACAAACCTAAAACCCAAACAACCTCTGTCCTCTCTTCGTCGTCTTCACCATTCACCTTCCGTTGCGCAATTTATATGCATCACTGACAAAGTTTAATATCTTATTCACATGAGGCAAAAGTTTTTTGGCTTTTATGCTTTAGTAGTATGCTTCACGAAAGCCAAGTTAGCCACACGTTGACTGGAGCAACCACAGTATCGGAGCGGTCAGAAATTGTGAGCTGCTCCTTCAATTTTTTAGCTTTTTTGCTTTAATGGATTATCGATTTTTGTCATGGTGTTACTTTAATATCACATCAATTTTGTGGACTTGAATTTAGATACAAATTACTTGAGTTGAATTTACTTGAATTAGCAATCAAAAATAAGATCAACAATTGCGTTCGTCTGTGGAGACATTTTGGGGAGGTTTTTTTCAAACATCTGCATGTTTTTATTTTCCTTGTAACTTTTCAGTGGGCTATTTATGTAATACAATAGATGCATATGGTTACCTTGATCCAATCCTAGGATGCATTTAGTGGCTGCAATCCCAGGTACTCTTGCTAGTCTTTCTGAATTACGTAGACAGATATAATATCATGGTTCATATTCATGTTGTAGTAATAAGTAGTATCGAATATTATAGCAGATGTAAATTCAATTAGATTCGCCATTACTTGATCCTAGTGTTGTTGGGCTACCTAATCAAACTGCTCAAGCTTGACGAAAGACAAGTTGAGAAGGCTTTGCTTGTGTTGATCACCACGCAAGTTTGCTTTGGTTCATTTGCAGCTGATCTGAACTTTCTTGAAAATAGCTACAGAGTAGTATATAAGTTTTCTAAGGACTTGAATTTTCTAAGGACTTGAATTTACTATACTTGATATTTTGTAGATCTTAAATGCCTTTCTTCTCGTTATACTGCACTTGATATTCAAACATTGTTATAAATTTTGTGGAAATAATAAGCAGCAATATATCTCAACATGTTGATTAATTTTTTCTCAATTCTGAACAATTTTTTTGTTTGACTTTTTGTGTTTTCGATTTTCCTTTTTCCTGTGGCTGCATTATTCTCAAAAATTACAAAGGTTATGTAACCTCAGGAGTAGATGTCTAAATATAAAAAGAACATAGCAGTTGTGAATATGATGGTTTTGTTCAAGATCTTCTCCACTTTTTCCTGGATCTTTGCAAGGTGACATTTTTTCTTTTTTTTCCTAACTGTTGTTTAGGAACAAACATGGCAACTTTTTTCGTGGAATTTGTATTCATGCAAATAGTCTTTGCTTACCTCTTCGGCTGCAGTTAATTTACTCAGGATATAGTTGCAAGCAAGGATGGTTCTTCACACCGTGCAGCAGTGATCCAAGTTTGAGGTCAGGATGTAATTTCCTCTGATTTGCCATTTTGTTTTGTCTGTTTGTCTTTTATGTTCACATCTAATTTGAGTGAAAGTTTTATGGAGTGGTGCATTAAAGTCATCTTTTGCTATCTACTCTCTTCTGAATTTATACAATTTATGTCAATATTTTCATATTATGCTAATGCGTCTTATATTCTACTTGAAATTTGGAAGAGATGAGGAGGGAGTTTTTCTTCAGTTAGTCTTTGGATGCATTGTTAACAAATGGTAAAAGTAGCTTCTCCTTTCTGCTGTGAGAAAGAAGCATCCTCAACAAGGGCTTTTTGGTTGTTAACTGACGTAGCTTTTGTATGTTGATACTATATCTGCCATATTTGCAGTAGTAGGTCTTTTGCTATTATTTGAGTTTCATGTGTTTGCAGTTCTGCTTGTTTGGTTTTCCATATCTTTCATACACAATTTCATGTCAGCATAGCACAATGTTCTGTAAAACCTACAGCTTAACTGGTTAAACCATAGTTGCCTGTGTACTCCTTGTGTTAGTTTTTCCTGTATTTTCTTCTGAGAATCAATATTGACTTATCCAGAATTGGGAAGTATACTAGCTGTAATAATGATATCTGATACTGTTGTTGCTTTGCTTATTGTACAAGTATTTTGAGGTTATTTATAGCTTGGCTGTTTAGTCATATAGGGTATGTTTGTCTTGGTTAATTAACTAGATATTTGCCATTCATTTTTCGATGTAGGGGACTTAAGAACATTCTGAGGATACACATAAAGAAGGTCAATTGTTCAGACTGGGAGCAAATCCCTATCCCAGCTAGGTTTGTTTTACTATATAAATATTTGGTGATTTTAATGGTTGTTTCTGAGAACTCAATTTGTTGTTCATGCTCGGATACATAATTGCATTTAGCACGTCTAAGATTATGTTGTAGATGTTGCAGAACTCAAATTTAATGGTTAGTGTTGATAAGAAATCTATCAATAGAAGTACCTGAGTCATTAACACAAAAAGATATTTTTTTTCTTAAGGATTCGTTGAAGTACAGTGATCTCTTTGAATATACAAGGCAAGTTATTCTGACTAGTATTGATGAGTAATGAGTTCAATGAAATTACATGAGTGATTAACCATCTTGACTTATGCCTACATGATGATTTGGTATAAAAATTCAACATGCATTGGTTATAAATATTCTAAAGATTTTTATGCCCCACTAAGCCCGGCTACTTGCAACAAGCTGTTCCAAAGCAAGTGACATCCACAAAGATGGCCAACAGATTTCTGGTGTATAAGTTTCTCATGCAAATTTTATATATGATCTCGAGTGATAAGTAAGCAAATCAAAGGATTCTGGCAGTGTGAAGAAGCCATTTCATCTAGAAGATTCTTTTAGCGGACAGTATTTGTAGTAGGGTCGGTTTGGAATGCGAGCCTGTTGCCCCCAAATTTGACTTGACATCCTTACCAATTCGGTTATTTCTTATTGTGGCTTATCTTTATTAACCTTCATGTAGCACAATTTTCAACTGATAACTGAAGTTTGTGGCTGTTATTTGCATATGCTTAGCTTAACAATGATTTCTTGTTGCAGTGTTAGATCTGTAGTTGCTCTAAATCTTCCTAGTTATGGAAGTGGAAGAAACCCATGGGGAAATTTGAAGCCAGACTATTTGGAAAAGGTAAATGTCGTTCCAACCCAAGGCTTAGAAAAGAACGGTAATGTGCCCCTCACCATCTCTCTTGCAGAAAAGATTTGAAGGTTGGCAAGACTAAATGGTTCTCTTATAATTGAGAAATTTTTTTTTGATGCAACATAAACATTATATCGATTGCACTGTGTTGGGCTAGTGGTACCCTTGTAGGTCATCTATCACCATAAATGATAACCTGGTTGGTTGACCATTCTGGACTTCTATTTTTTTAATTGTTGACATGATGTAGTCCTTTGATCTATTTATTATTTTGTGAGCTCTTTAACATTAGTGACTATAATTGTAATTAAAATCCAGATTAAGAGTATTAAGCAGAACTTGCAAAAAAGCTCCAACTGTTGTTTCTCCCTAGTTCCAAAAGTGCAACATAAACCTTTGTGTAATTATTTCTACTTTCACCTTTTCTTAACACATTTTAAAATGGTTATACATAGTTGCTGTAGATTGCAGATATTTCTTTATATTTTCCCTGTTTTCGACTTTTGAATTGCTGCTTCTGTATTGCCTTTTTCTTGCATCTAAATCATAAGTTCACCTGAAATACACACACACAGTGTTTGATTTGAAGCTTTCGTAGATAGTTCTCAAAGAACGCATGTTATTGGATGTTGATATGGTTTCCTTCTCCTCAATTATTACTTTTCAGAAAGGCTTCGTTGAAGCGCATGCTGATGATGGTTTGCTAGAAATTTTTGGTCTGAAGCATGGATGGCATGCTTCAATGGTTATGGCTGAAGTGATCTCTGCCAAACACATTGCACAGGTACTGAAAGCAGAGTGTTAGCACAAACAAAATAATATGGTCATGACCTCAGCACTTTAATTAGGTTTTGCTGGTTGGGGTTAATTTTTGCTTTGACAGTCGGCTAAGTCTTTAGTTCTAATGGCTTTTCCAGGCTTCAGCTATTCGTTTTGAGCTCAGAGGGGGAGAATGGAAAGAAGCTTTCATGCAGATGGATGGTGAGCCATGGAAACAGCCAATAAACAAGGATTTTTCGACATTTGTTGAAATGAAGAGGGTACCTTTTCAGTCGGTTATGGTTCATGGAGACTAAATTCAACAGCTCCTCCTGGTTTTCTGGACAACTATGAATGACATTGCGAGAGCTTGTCTGCCTGTGATTATTGTAAATCTTTTTTTTTCCCTTTGAACCTAATGTTATAAAGTTTACTGCCTTGGCTATTTGTGTAGTTTTCAACCCTTGTAACTAAAGTCCCCGTTGCACGCTTGTTTGTCCGCAACAGTTTCACATTTGCATTAGACTTTGTAATATTATAATTTCATCAAAGAATTGCAAAGTTCTTGCTTTACTTCATAAATTTTTAGTATTTCTCAAATATTAGAGGCTATTGGTACAATGAGTTTTCATACTCTTGTTTAACTTGTACAGTTTGGTTGTATGGGAAGGGAACGATTAAATTTACCATCATGTGTGCTGATTTTTTTGTGGCTGGTAGACTTGTTCTTTTATAAGAAATATATGTCGATTCTTTTATTGTAATCAATTCTGCAACACACAAAGAAAAATAATAATGTGATTATAGGAATTTTCGAGATTCTTCTATTATAATCAATTCTGAAACACACAAAGAAAAATAATAACGTGATTATAGGAATTCTCGAGAAAACAATAATAACGTGATTATAGGAAAAATAATAATGTGATTATAGAAATTTTGGAGAGAACGGAGCTTTTAGTTCCGTACAAAGGTGAGATTTAATGTGGTACACCATTTGTTTTTTTGTTTTTTTTGCAGATTCTAGAACATAGACTGTCAGGATGTGTTCTACAACAAATGACTGAAAAAGTTGAATGCAAAATGCAGCTTCTGCAGAGATTTTTATGAAAGATTTTAGCTGCTTTTGATGACCACATGAAAACATGAATAGATTTAAAAAATCTCAGAATCGAATATTTGAGTTTGAGTCTAACTGATTTATAACACACGCATTAGGTAAATATTATTGAATTGAAGCAACCTTTCCCCATAGGTGGGGTATACACGCGGTTTGGAATCTTTGGAGATATAATGACAAAAAATAGGTTTCAATCTTTTGTTTCTTTCTTGCCATTGCCGTGGCCGCTAGGAATAAGATTTTTGGATGGATAGCCAGTAGCATCAAGACTTCTGACTTATCCTTACTTTTGGATCGTGTCTAAACCGGTTCGAGTCAGGGAGGCTCATATAGTTAGTTCCATCACGTAGTCCTATTCATCTACTTTACGCAATCCAAGGTACAAAATTGGTTTGTTTGGATTTGCAACTCTTTTTAATTATAAACGCGTTTCTCAATTAAATTTTTTTTTTAAATTTCACATGCATCCCATCACAAAAAGATCTACAATATCGTTTCAAATAATCTCTTCACCGAAATTCATCAAAGAAAATGAAGCTCTAGTAATAATAATGACAATAATATATGTGGATATTGATTTACGCGCGTGTGAGTTTAGATTCATGAATTTGAAGCCCAACTTTATTCTTTTTACTTAATCCTCCGTCTCTTTGCAATCTCCATGGCATCAAGCTGCTAAAGTGTGGCCAATCTCCATTGGCAGTTAGAAGCACTACATTCAATTCTTAATTCTTAAAGACAGCCTGGGCACTCCAAACTCCAACGATGTTGAAAGGCATTATTATATTCTTTCTGTAGATGATGGCTTGAAGATCACGACGTTTAAAACATCTTGTGGATCTGGATGGGAAATTTCCTTGGAAAGAAATTCTTTGTCCTATCTACGAATGCAAAATATGTACTTTTTGAATCTCAACCACGAATATATAAGCTAGAGAGGAGAGGAAGGATCATTTTGTAGTTACGTACGTGACGACAATTAATGATGGGGTAACATCTGCGGAAATTTCTCATCAAATCAAGCAGGCCATCCATATATTTTTTGACTGCCCATATCACAACACCAATGCAACTGTGACAAGGGAGTAGTTGATGTTAGCATCAAGAAAAAATTAGTTAGTTGATGTTACTGATGCATAGAATTTGGAGTTGCAGGATCAAATATGGTGGAATCTTTGGCTCATTAATTGTAACTTTGCTTGAATATAAAATTAAAGGATGACTAATTATCAATGCATTGCGACCATGACCTAGATGACATAATAGGTTAGCACGAAACAAGTATGCCACGAAGAAGGCAGGAAATGATCGATCTTGTGTGTTTGGATAGTAAATTATTTGAGATAATTTTGTGAAAAAATACTACTGTAACATTTTTTTTGCTGTGATATATGCATGTGAGATAAAAAGGTGATTGAAAAATGTGTTAATGATGCAAACAAGTCAGTGTATGTAAATAAGGTGTAAATAATGTGCATTCCAAACACAAGTGTCTCAAAGTGCTGTATATATTGCATGCCACGCTTTCTAGGCTAAATTTTGGAGTCAAACTAATTTCTTGAATTTTCGGCTAAATTATTTTCTAGAATGTGTTCTGCCTGCTGCCGGAAATTTCATTTGACTAGACTATAATTGAAATATTCCTAAAGGAGACATGATCAAAATGCCCAGTAAAATTTGGATGAAACTCTCTTTGTAGAACAGCATGAATTGTCTAATGCCAGTTTCAGAAATGGTTGTGTTAATTCCCTGGTCCAAACCTTACTCTGCCTACTTTCCAAGAAACTTCAAGCTCCACGAGATCCCATTCCCATTTCCAAGTGCATTCGCATTGTACCATTCTAATTGCTACGGGCTCCATAGTCCATACTGAATATTGAATTCGTCAAACTTCTCCTAGTCAACTTGTCGAGAGGGAGAAAGGGCCCCCGCCGGGGGAGGAGGGGGGGGGGTGGGGTGTAGGAAGGAGGGCAGAAAAAGACTCGTACTTCCTTACTATAGCTCTCAGAATCGAATTCAGGGCTGCCATGTGGTTCAAGTACTCTTCTTCCTCAAGGAAAAGGAGAAGTTCAATCTATATATATCATCCCAAAATTGTCTGATGGAACCTTAGATTGGCTATTAAATACACTATCATTAATTCTTTATAAGGCTAAGAAAAAGACTTTGAGCAACAGGGCCAAAAGTTAAAAATGCCTCTAATGAGAAATTGCAATTTCAACATGCTTACTATCAGACGCTTCCTGTCCTTCAAGTACGTGATATTTTTTCTGATGTGGGATGGAGGATTTGCTACTGCTGCAGCTGGAGATGAAGGAAAGAATGCAACTGCAGCACCAACTCATTTCTCAGTACACATTGGAACAGTTCTTGATTACAATACTTCCATGGGAGCCATGGCAGATTTATGCATTTCTATGGCGCTCTCGGATTTCTATGCTGTGCATTCAGATTATCAAACGAGATTAGTTCTTCACACGAAATATGCTCATGATGAATTGGATGGAGCATCCGCAGGTTATAATGGAATATTTGTGCTTCTAGTTTTGAAATTATTGCTGCTACATCATTGCCATAATTGAAGTCCTATTTTTAGCAGTTGCAAATATTTGTTCCTCCATCTCAGCATTGGTTATGTATCACCTTTTTATTGAAGTCGTCAGTGTTCATTTGTTGTTTCCATAATGCTTCTCGATGCATAATGGTATGCATAGAGGTTCTTTCTCTTCTGATTATGATTCTAAAACTCATCTTTCCTCCACATACATATTACTCCTTAACTTGAATCATATTTATTTGACACGTTCAATTTGGTGATTGAAATGTTAATACTATCAAAGTTTTGTATTTGAAAGCCTCCAAAAGATTTTATTGATGGAAAGAAATGTCAAAGTCTTCCCCTATATAATCCTGGATGAAAGAAATTAAACTCTGATACACAACCTTGAATTTTCATTGGAGCATACAAATCGTACTATGTGAAACAGTTCTCAATGATGTAAAATACAAAAATTTACCAGGACTAACACTGTTTTCTTGGAATGGAATGCAGTCTTTGAATTGATGCAGAATGAAGAAGTGCATAGCATTTTGGGCCCACAAATGTTGACAGAAGATGAATTTGTGGTGCAACTAGGAGGAAAAGCTCATGTGCCTGTTATATCCTTCAGTGCTAGAAGTCAATCTCTTTCCTCCAGACAAAGTCCTTACTACATTCGGACAACACCAGATGATTCAAACCAAGCGAAAGCTCTGGCTGCCCTCTGCCGAGGATTTGAATGGCATGAAGCAGTCATTTTGTATGAAGATTCTGATTATGGCAGTCAATTTCTTTCCAGGATATATGATGCATTCCAAAAGGATGACATTCGAGCAGCTTATGTGGTCCCAATCTCGACATCAGCTGCAGACCATCACATTCGGAAAGAACTGAACAGACTGAAGACAATGCAGACTAGGGTCTTCCTGGTGCATATGGATGCTCAACTTGGATCTAGGCTTTTTCTTCTTGCCAAACATGCCGGAATGACAAGTGAAGGGTATGCCTGGATCATTACTGATGGCATAGGCAATTTCATGAACTCTATCGATTCTGATGCTGTTGATTCCATGGAAGGTGTTTTAGGCCTAAGGCCTTATGTACCAGCATCAAGAAATCTAGAAAATTTCAAAACCAGGTGGAAGAAGAATATGCTTCTGATGAAACCTGAGAGTACATTGACAGAGCTAAATGTGTATGGTTTATGGGCATATGACACAATTTGGGCATTAGCGATGGCAGTGGAAAAAATTGGACCAGTAAATCTTGGCTTCTTGGAGTCAGGCAACAGCAAGAATGGAAATGAGAATTTTAATTTAAGAGTTTCTCAACCGGGCCCAATACTTCTAAGAGAGCTCCAAAGTACAACATTTGAAGGCTTGTCTGGAGAGTTCCACTTAATTGATGGACAGCTGAAACCTTCACCTTTGGAGATATTCAATGTTTATGCAACAGGAGACAGAGCAATAGGTTACTGGACACCGGATGGAGGAATAACGCGAAAATTAGATTTAACAGGTCGCCTGAAATATTCAACTTCCACAAAGGAATTAAAAAGCATTGTCTGGCCTGGAGATTCAGTAAAGCAGCCAAAAGGCTGGTCTATTCCTTCAACAGGGAGATTAAAAGTGGGGATCCCTAAGAAAAATGGTTTCACTGAATTTGTCAATGTTTCAACAGATCCTCAGACAAAGCAGGTTAAAGTCTCTGGTTATTCAATAGACATATTCCTTTCTGCATTGCAACAGCTACCTTTCAGTGTTGATTATGAATTTATTCCTTTTACAAATGAAAGTGGACTCAGTAATGGAACATATGACGAACTTCTTCAAAACATACTAGGCAAGGTTGGTATCTTCTCACCTCTACTTCTCTCTCTTTCTACTTGTTACTCAGTTTTGGGATGCTTGGTAAAT